ATATGGAAGATACTGCGTTTTTGATGACGCAATGACGCAACCTGGCTACACACTGGAACGCCTAGCTATTACAGATTTGAACAAATACACACAAAAACATCAAAATTAGCACAGAAACAGTACTATATAACATTTTAGACACATTCTAGACAGTTTATCAGCTAAAAAAGTTAATTTTGGGGTAAGTTACTCTTTAAGCAAAGCTGAAACTGTCAGATCACTTCAAAGTGCAGCTCTATGTTAGCACAGTTAGCTTAGCACACTGGCTCACATACAGTGGCCACAGATTGGGTTAAAAAGCTGTTTTTGATGTCCTTCATGTCGTTGGTTTGCAGCGCTCGGACTGACTGCTGCTCTGAACAGAAGTTAAAGCAGAAGGTCCTGTTGGACTCACGTTACTGACAGACATCCCTGCATGTTATGAGCTCATCGTATTCTTCACATCAGCTAAGTCCACCAGGTGTCCACAGGGCAGAAGCTCCACCACAATCAGACTGTTCACATGATGTAACAGTTACTGCCAGCAGGGGGCGTTACTGTGAACATGACACTGATAAACACAGGGTGAGGGGCTGAACCCCCATTACTGTGGAAAAACTGTAGAGATTTCATCACTAAAACCTGTTTTAAACTCTGTTTTACACTGTTCTAATGGAAACACAGAAACTAAGATGTCCAGCTGAGGGAACAGGTGTTTTATCAGGTGAGTTAATGAAGAAGCAGCTGCAGCTCTGAGGCACAGCAGGAGCCTTCACAGACAGACTGAGTCATGTTTACATCTGCTCTGACAGGAAGGCCAGCTGGGATCTGGTTCTGAAGGACGGCCGCTCCACCCTCTTCCTGGTACCGGACCGGCTTTTACTTTCAGCCTGGTTCCAGGGGGAAGGTGAGCAGTAACATTTGTGTGACCATTAGAGGTCATGGTGTGGTTGTGTTTACACTCCTGACCTTGTGCTTCATGGTGATGGAGTCCCAGGACATGTCGATGCTTTTGATTGGTCCAAAGGGGATGAAAGCCTGTCTGATGGTGTCCTCTCCCAGCTCGTAGTAGATGGAGCCCACATAAACCCGACACATGATGGCCAGAGCTCTCTGCCGCTGAGCTGCCACCTGAGAGACCCCAAACACACAGGAACAAGTGTGGCCGTCAGGAAGCTGGGCCACGAGGAGGACCACAGTGAAACCTGATGACCTGCCATGTTGTTTATTATTATCCTGTTGATTCAACAACACAGAATCACCAGCTTTACCTCCAAACCTAACCTAACCCTAACCTAACCCTAACCTAACCCTAACCTAACCCAAACCTAACCTAACCTAACCCAAACCTAACCCAAACCCAAACCTAACCTAACCCTAACCTAACCCTAACCTAACCCAAACCTAACCTAACGTAACCCAAACCTAACCCAAACCCAAACCTAACCCTAACCCAAACCTAACCCTAACCTAACCTAACCCAAACTAACCCTAACCTAACCTAACCTAACCCAAACCTAACCTAACCCAAACCTAACCCTAACCTAACCTAACCCAAACTAACCCTAACCTA